AAAGACGAGAGTGCCGAGGCACCTGCGCGGCCTGACGCTAGCACAACGGGTGTCCTGCAGCGCCGGACGACCTGCCGTCGATACCGATCTCTTCTGCTGCCGGCGCGGCTCAGAAGGAGGATTTCGCATGGCGGCGGGAATGGTTCTCGCTTCGCTTCTCGTGGGTGCGCCTCACACGACACCGATGACGACGGAGTCGAACACCGCTGGCAGGGCCAATAAGCGCCAGTCGCTCGTACTTGGGGACCCAAGCTACCTCAAGGTGAACAGCAACGGGCTCCCGCGGGGCGTCGTCTCGCGATCGCGGTGGTGTCACTTTGGTCTTGGTGGTGATCGTTCGTCGATAGGCTTTGTTGTCTGTTGACATGGCCAACGCCGATCGTTTCGCGACTCCCGCGTCTGCGCCTCGACCTTCCCCGCTTTCACAGGTCTTTCGAGAGGGAAACCCGCGCTACGCACGCGCAGGGAGATTTGGGAAGTCTAGTCTGGATCAAGCTGTCCGGAGACTGGAGGGACGCACGCTGTATCAATACTGGAGTGCCGCTGACGACGTGTTTGCTGCGCGACGGTCAGTAGCCCTCGTGCCTTCGCGTTTCCTGTTGCTGAAGCTCAACTACCAATGCAGGAATCATGTATCCCCCGTGAGCGCGACGAAGAGAGGCGTTTACTAGGACAGATTGCTCACAGGAGACGATAGATGTAGAGCTGCTAGTCGTTGACCTGCAGTTTCTCTGTGGAACGTCTCTGACATGAGTGTGCGTGCGGACCGCTCAATCGGCACTGATGCTGTGGTTCAGGCCTCAGGACGTGTCATCTGTGGACACGCTCGTCAGAACTAGTTTGTACTTACTCTCTACTCACTCGCTTGATGCTTACTAGCTGGCCCTGCAGCCCCGGGTGCCCATCAACGGGTCACTGAATGGTTATCCTACGGATGACCGACTCGGTTCGGGAGCTGTTAAGCTACTCTGTGTGCATCACCGAAAAGGAGCAAGAGGGTCGCCGCTGCAGCTCAAGAGGCTAACGAATTAGCTAGGCAATATTGAAGGAGTGCTTTACGATGATTGGAGCAATACGACATACTACTCAACTGGGACCATCATCGAATATCGTAACTTCAATTTCCTACTCGTTCAAGTTACATATATTGCTATCTGAACTTGAACAGAACGTAGCATTCTCTAGAGTCTGTTATAGCCTTTATTACCGGGTTATGCTTCAGCACTGGTCTCACAATGTCCTTCCTCGTCGGCTTCTGCAGAGCCATTCTCTTCGTCGCAGAGTTCGTCGCCCCAGCCACTCTGCAGAATTCCACCAATATTACCCAATCGGTTCAACGACCTTCTGATCTGCAGCGTTGGCTGTTCTTGCTGTCGATAGCTCATGTGCACAGAATAGTCTGACAGCTCCGAATCTACCGTTCGTAAGTTGATCATGAAGCGGCTGATGAGCACCGGAGGCTGCGTAGCCAATCTATAAGAACCAAAGGGATAGACGGAAAGCAGACACACACACCAGTGCCACAATAAATGCCGATACAGGTGCCGTGTCTTTTAATGTGACGTCAGCTGTTAGCTCACGCATGCATGTTGAAAAGGTACCGTAGAAGAGCCGTAGGTCACTAGCTGTGCTATGTTCACTGCTAGAAGGGCCCTGTAATTGTTTTCGCCCGTGAGCAACTTCTTTTCGTGAAAGAATCCCTTGTAATACTCACATGAAATAGATAGTTCCTTTATGGGTGGCTAGTGTTCAGTGGGGGCGAATGCAGTGGCGGAGAGGACCACTGACCGTCACGCAACAGGCATGTTGTCAGCGACACCCTCATATTGAGGCGGCGGGCATTCTTCCAGTGCCCGAATGTCTTGATCCACGTCAAGACCAGCACGATAGCATCGGCGAGGACGAGTGAACCACGTGTGACGTACGTGACTGTAGGCAGTAATATCAGTGTCTCTGATATGCTAGAAGGCTTTGGCTATGGAACGTACGTCTAGATTGCAAAAGTTCAGTATCACAAAAGTGCAGCAGTAAGGTACGTGTACTCACATGCTGCTCGTTCGCGCAGAGATCTGGCTTTCGTAGGAGCACGTTACTCCAACAAGCGGATCTATAACGGATCCATACTTCGACTCCACTGCATTATACTAATTAAAAGTGTCAACTGGAGCATATAAGAGGTTCGAGCAGAGATGGCACCTGCTAAATTCGTCATGAACGGCACCATGCTCACCACGAACACTACTAGCGACCACGCATAACTCCTATCCCAGATAGCAAAAACGCGCAAGGCGGAGAATACTGGCATGTGGAAGTTAGTGTAAGTTTTTGTCAAGCAGTCCGCGTGAGGCGTACATGCGATCTGAAGGAATCCAAGGAGAGTAAATATCCAAGTCATGATTTCGAGCGGTGGGCAGCTGTGTGTCGAGTTCAGGTAAGCAATCTGTTGTTTTCCGGCCACAGGAAACTTCAATTACCCCTGCCAGAAGTATTGTCATGGATTAAATACAATCAAAGGCACTTGAAACTTACATTCTGAGTTGATGGCTCAAGTTGCAGGACAGCCGTGAGCAGCATGCACCATCGTACAGAGCCCAGAAGCACGGCGGATGCAGTGACCGGTCTCTTCCACACAATCTTAATCTCGTTGTCGAAGGTAATCAGAAGCTCGTAGATAGGGAGACCTGAGGGACAAATACTATGTGAACAACGTAATGGGTAGTGAAGAATGTACTTGCATGCGGCAGCCACAGCCACATAGTCACCTGTGGTACTGGAAGATAAACCTATGAGCATTGGGTCGTTGAGTACAAACAGAGGTATGCCTACAGCTGCGAGTAGGCTTGGACAAGAGCTTGGTCTGGCTGTGTGGACATAGTCAATGCGGAGGAGGGGAAGTGAGCTGTATTGAAGGTAGGCCACCACTTGCACGGCTTATGAGCGACTTTATTGACCGTCTATCAGCATACTTGTGTCGCAAACACTCTCACATACGCAGCCTGTGTTGATAGTATTCTATTGAAGATTGCGAAGAGGCGGCCTTCTGAAGGCGCCGACACTGAAGAGGCTCAGGCTGGCCTGCCGACCAAAAGGTGACTTAATCTCACTACGAGCGAGGCCATATTGAAACAGCATAGGAGTCGGGGATCAGTGCCATAAAACGGTGAAAGACCCTTGATCTGCCTGAGGATACTAGGAAACAGGATTTCCGCGCTGTCCATGTTCCCAGTCTGTAGCACTTCTGGCATAAGCAATTAGACGACTTTTCACAGCATCTGGAAATTTGTGACAACTTCCCGTTATCTTGTAATGGCTGGAACGATCATACTTTCGACATCTATGTGCTAGGGCTCGACATGGACAAAGACGGCGGCCGGGTCAAGCCTTGAGTCAAGTTGGGAAAAGTCCAGTGAGCGCTCGCTACGTTACGCTATCTTCTGTTATCTGTCTACCGTGAATATTGCACCAGAAGTGTAGATTCGGTATACAGTATCTATGTTTGTGGGCACAAAACGTGCGGGAAATAGGACAGTCTATCGGATCTGGGAAGACCGAGGCGGAGTTTGCGTACAAAACATTTAGCGCTAAGATTAGATAACAATCACCGTTAGCCGCCCCTAATCGGCCAAGACCTCCCTTGCCCCGCTCGATGCGCCCAAGTTGTTAAGAGTTTGAGCCGACGATGCTGCCTACGGTCTGTGGTCGCCTGCATGCGCTGTCGGTCTGTGTGACACCGCTGTTAGTCATACCGCCGTCGCAGTGCAATGTCCTAGAGGTTCTGTATCTTCGGGCGTCTTCGAGGGTCTGCAGCCGTACTTGCACTGCGACGGTTTCATGCGGGCATGGCTGCTAGACACCGCACGCAGGTTGCGCTCCGCGTTCTGCACGCTGGAGTTACGGTACGCCGGCGAGCATGCCGCTGTATGGATGTTGCAGCACTGATTCGTTCGGCCGACGAAGGAGGCGAAAGTCGTGGTGCAGACCCCAACGCGGTAAGATAACGTGCTTAATCAAATCTACAGACAGTGAGGACGACCATGGCCAAAGCTAAAGCGAGGCCGCCATGCCATGAAGCAACGTCCCACGTAAACTAGCTGCTTTCATCTTGAGGTTCTCGAGCGCGAGTGGCCGGCGCTTGGTCCTGCCCTCGCCGGCGCCGTTCGACTTTATCGCTACCGGTTGTCGTGCAAGGCGCGACTGCAGAGAGCAAAGGACGCTCCTGCACGC